GGAGAGCGGAGTCCAGTGGTCCTTACAGGGCACGCGGACGCTTCTTGGGCTGACGACCAGGCTACGCAGCGGTCGTCACAGGGTTACACCTTCAGTCTTGGTTCCGGCTCTGTCTCGTGGCGCGCTACTCGTTCGTCTTCAGTTCTCAGCTCCAGTTGTGAGGCTAAGATCTACGCCGGGGCCATGGCTGCACAGGAGCTTCGCTGGCTCACCTACCTACTGACTGACCTTGGAGAGCCGCCTCGTTCTCCTCCAGTGCTGTACGTAGACAACAAGGCCATGCTGGCCTTGTGTCGAGAGCAGCGTCTGGAGCAAAGAACGAAGCACATTGCTCTTTGCTACTTCCTTGCTCGTGAGCTACAGCAGCGTGGACAGTTGCGGCTTGCGTACGTGGCCTCTGAGGCCAACACTGCTGATGTGTTCACCAAGGCACTTGCGCCTTGTGACCATCAGCGCTTCTGCACCCAGCTGGGTCTTGTGCCTGTCTTGCCTCACTTGCTCTCCTCTTGACTTTACTTGTACTGTGACATATATATATACCTGCTCTTGCTTGTCTAGTTTTATATATATATGTCTGTACTCCTGCATGTGAACTGGCCTCTTGCCCTGCTCTTGTGCTCGGACTGTGTGGTGACTTTGTGATCCACCCCGAGCTTGCTTTGCTTTGCTTTGCTTGACTGGTCTTCTGACCCCTTGTTCTCCCCCACTTTGCCTATGGGGGTGTGTCAGAACATATCTATAGCTTATACTATTGTGTAGGCTGTAGTGGGGTATCCCATAGGGGGTACAACCCAGTTAGGGTTTCATATTTGTACTGCCTTCATTCATAGTTCACACATTCCTGTTCTACAACTCTCACAGATTGATCCTAGGGAAGGGTTACAGGCACGTTGGCCTGGGGGGTTGTGGGCGCACTGACCCGCTACTTAACAAGCCCTTTTATCCCAGTGGTCTAGTGGCTGGGATTCTGACATGGTATTAGAGCAAAGGTCTCGGGTTCGAATCCCGGTGTGTGCACTTCGGGCATCCAAGTTCGGGGGGGTGTCAAAAGTCCACTGGTGATCCCCGATTGATCATAGGGAAGGGTTACAGGCACGTTGGCCTGGGGGGTTGAAGGCGCACTGACCCGCTACTTAACAAGCCCTTTTATCCCAGTGGTCTAGTGGCTGGGATTCTGACAGTTCGTTGACGGAACGGTGGAAGTGCCGCCTGAGGATGACGCTGAACGGCGCGCACAGTTTCATTTCGCACAACTGTTGACGTTTATGGTCATCTCGAGATGTTGCTCGCCGGTCGTCCAAGTTGCATTGAAGCCATGCCGTCTTCGGGTGGACGCTGGTTTCCAAGCTTGGCAATTCATTATGAAGACCTACAAGGCAACGGATGACCTTTACATTGGCCAGCTGGAGCAACGGTTGACAAATCTGGAAATGGGGGAGCATGAAAGCGCAACCGCATACTGCAATCGCGCACAACAGATTCTTGCGGATCTGCGTATGGCTAGCGTGGACTACTCAATGTCTTCGTATATCACGCATGTCATCAAAGGTCTGCCTGCAAGCTACAATCTCCTTCGACGCATGGTGAAACTCCCAGGTGTACGGGAAGAGCTCAACGAGGATATGCTTTCGAGCTACATCATTGAGGAGTTCACACTTGAATCCGAGCGGCGCAAGGAGCAATTTCTCCCTCAAGTCAACTATGTCGCGTCGAAGCAGCAGCGGCAGCAACAGAAATGGGCAAAATCGCGCGAAGGAGGCGACAAGGACAAACAAGTCAACCGCGCGAAGACGAATAAAAGTGACGAGCGCTCAGGTCGCGGAAAGCGCAAATCTCCACGATACTGCTTCGTTTGTGGAGATCCCGACCACTTAGCGAACCAGTGCCCCGACCGCGTCATCAAGGAGAATGGTGATGGCCAGGAAGCTCCGCGTGGACGATCGCAAAATCGTCAACCTCGTCGCGAAACCGCATACCGCGAGGACAACCAGCACTCTGATTCCGAGGACGAGCAGCCGTCGGATGTCGGAATCTCCCGTGGAAAGGGTGTGAAGGACGCCCCAAGTGACGATCTGGAGCAAATAGGGCAAGCGTCGTGTTCAATGGCCGTCGTGGTGACGGACGCATCGGCGAAACCGGCCATTTCCGTGGCTCCGGATGCTGGCGAGGATTCCCAGGTGGTAGCTGCAGCGGTGCAAGCCAATCCGACCGTGGTACTCCTCAACAGTGGCTGTTCTCATCACCTCATGGGGATGCGTGAGGCATTCGTGGAGATGAATGCGGAAGGCGACATTCACCATGTGCGTGGATTCAGTGGCGATGTCCAGCCTGTAAAAGTTCGCGGCACAATTGCTCTTCAAGGGACGGCAGGCACACATGTTCTCATTCCTGATGTGCTGTATGTGCCTGGCGTACAGGCAAATCTGCTGTCAGCTGGACAGCTAAAAGACAGTGGTGTGCAGTTTCAGGACACAGGTGCCGAGACACTTCTCGTATCTGCTGAGGGAGATATTCTCGGTCGTGCGAGCTACACCGGCCGCGTCCTCTGCACGGACCTCCGTCCGTGTTCATCAATGCCAAACTCTACCCTCCCACCGTCGGTCACCAAACCGTCAACCTCCTCCTCGCCTACTGTCATCTCCTCTCCGCTGACAGCTGCGGAAAGCCTCTCTTTTCCCGCCGCCGACACCCCGTCCAAGTCGGCCGCCGACGATGAGGGGAGACATGACGCGCTACTTTCGACGCCGCGCATTGGCATCGTCGACGGTCGACCTGCCGCATCTTCTGAGGATGGCGCGCCTGGTATGCAGAAACCAGTGCCTGGTATGCAGAAACCAGCGCCTGGTATGCAGAAACCAGCAGAGGAGCAGGTGACAGGGGAGCAGATCAGCGACAACACGTCGAGCGACGTTGTGGAGGTCACCGGTGAAGCTGCAGGGGAGTCGTCTAGCGACTGTTCTTCGAGCGATGTGGTGGAAATCAAGTCGCCGACACGGCATTCCACCCGCTCCAACTTTGGTGTGCCCCCAAAGAAATGGGCCGATGTGTGCCCGGAATTCGCTAACACGCTTCTCGATGACGCCAATGCGGATACCGCGACGATAACCGTCAAGGAAGCGCTTACGTACACCCCGACAAGCGTGCAACCCGACTTCACGAAGGCGCTGCATTCCCCGGCATTCAAGCGCTGCTCTGTTGCCGTTGGGCAAGTCGATCTTGCAGACTACGCGCGTGAGAACGCGCAGGATTAGGTGCCATGGCCTTCAACATGGCTGGTGCGGTAAGTATGCGTGTGTGGAAAACACGCGGACGAGTATCAGGATCGTCACCCTGTTGTACTCTATTATTTCCTTTCGCTTTGTGTGGTGTGCTAACTCCTCAGTTGCCCAGGCACGAGAAGGGCAGGGGAGTGTTAAGGCGAAGCCCTGCACGCGCCTGGTTTTACGTGTAGCAGCCCTATGCGGAGTAGCGAGGCTTCGCATACCGCATACCGGTTTTTCCAGTATTGCGGTATTCGCCAAGTACACTCCAATCTGTGCGCTTCGGTATGCACATTTCGACATTGGACTAGGGAAGTGACGACATTGCACAAACGCGTATGTGCAACTGTCAGTGCTGCAAGAACCTACGCAACTACTCCTGAGCAGGTAGAAATACACTTGACGGTATTTTCACCTGATGGTATTTTCACCTGGCGGTGCCAGCCTGGAACCGCATACTAGAGTAGGTGCTTGCACGTTCTCCTTGAACAGCGTTCTTCATGAACAACGTTCTCGTAGAATGTTCCTGCACACGTCACTATGCTTCTCTATAAGGTTCATGTTGTTTCTGTTGTAATCAATATAATCAATTAATCAATTACTTTCCTTTCGTTACTGGACACCAAGCCTATTGGTGCATACCAAGCATGCTGTTCTCCAAATACCAGTATCCGGTTTCCAGCAAGTCCGTACACGGAAAACCCGCACTTCACTCTCTGATCGTGCAACTTTGCGCCTAGGCTCTCCCAAAAATCGCCTTTTCTCCGCAATGCGGTACAGGGGTTTATATAAGAATACAGTGGAATACGAACGGTCCTAGCTAGCCATATACTCTGAGGGGGTACATTCCCCTTAGGGCTAATCTAGATGCAGGATTGCAACCGTGCGATTTGGTAACCGTACGCGGTCCGGTAACCGTTTGAACATTTTCCGCGCTTTGCACTTCAAATTCGTCCTGCTTGTAACTGTCTGGATAATTGTATCGTTACTTGGCCTTTCGTCCTCGCTGCAGTCATCTTCCCGTTAAGGATTTGTAACTCAGGAATGTTTATTCAACTATTCCATATCGTAACAGGGTGGTTTGGGCGCGATCGTGTTGGTGGGCATGGTGCCGAGGCGTGTGCCGCGAGGTGGTAATTGGCTACTGTTGCATGTACAGTGGCGGGAACAGTCGTGTACGCGGTATTTAATGTGCCTGGAAATAAGGAAAAGTTGTTTCGTTACACTAATCTTGAGATTTCAGGTAGCCTTGTAAATGTATACGCTCTTTATGAAGGGGATGGAAGGAGTCTCAAATTCCTGAATGGGTTATGCTACAACGCGTACAACCTCCCGCCTAGGCTACCTCCCGTCGCTTTCGGCCTTCGAGGTCCTTCGCCGAGCTACATCTTTAGTGGGCTTTCATTTATATCAAGGCACAGCTTCGATATTGCTTTTCCGCACACTCGTAACAACGCATAACAGCCTCCGTGAATCGTAGTCGCTCGAGTGTGCAGATCGCAACGCCCAAAGAACGCTGTATGCTCCGCTCGACAGGTGCAGCTGGTTTTGGTGAGCTCGAATGGCTGGCCGCGAGAACTCGTCGGCGGACTGGATGGCGCGTCTCGAGCGCGCCTTGCGCTCCACGCAGCCTGGTGGGTCGCCGTTGAAACCACCACTCGCAGCAACTGTAACCTGCGTAACCCTAATCGAATCCATTTCAGCTGGAGCCTTTCAACCCTTAGGGTAAGCCCGCATGCGTTACACCTCCACTCCGCCCCGCCCATTCCGCCCCGCCCACTCTGCCCCGCCCACCCCGCCCCGCCCACCCCGCCCCGCCCACTCCGCCCCGCCCACTCCGCTCCGCTCATTCCGCCCCGCCCACTCCGCGCATGTCGCTCCTTCCCGCGCTGTGTTATCAGTCACACTCACATCCCCTTCGTTCCCATCCATCGCCCGTGTGTCCCGCTGTGCCCCGCCGTGCCTTGCCTGCCGCGTCTCTGCGAAGCTCCAACCCATTGATTGCTCCAGATCGCTCCTCTCCGCTTCTTCAATGCACGTCTTCCCTCGCTGCCCTTCGCCTGACTCCACCTCCTACCTTCCCTGCTCTCTGTCCCGCTCCCCGCTCCACTCGCCCCCACCTCGTCTCAATCTCCTCTCCAACCGTTTTTCCGCCCCCGTCCCCGACTCATGCCACCCTGCGTCACACTGCTGTCTCCGCATTTTTGCTGCCGCTGCCCTACCGTGCCGACCGTGCCTACCGTGCCTACCGTGCCTACCGTGCCTGGCGTGTTTGTTGACGAGCAACAGCATCAGGCCCTGCACCTGCCACTCTCCTGACTCTCCCAATCCCTCCCCTCTCCGCCTCTCTCCCCTCTCTCCCCCCTCTCCCACTCTCTCCCCACTCTCCCACTCCCTCCCCTCTCTCCTTGCTCTCCCCTCTCTCGGTGACGCCATGCCTGACGTCAGCAGCATGTGTGACGTCAGCATGTGCAAGCATTCCTGCTGGCATATTTTTACATGATCACTCTTTGATGATTCTTTTCTTTTCCTTTTCAGGACCAGGAGGAAGAGGCAGGGGCTGAGCGGCCATTGGTTGGGAGTGTGGGATGTGTGTATGTGTAACAGCTCAGTGCGCACTCCTTTGTATCGTGCTGCACTGTGCTCTTTGGGAACTGGCTATGTTCAATGAACATGGCTTTGGAGTTGAAGTCAATGCGCCCTGACCTGCCATGTGTGCAACAGCTCAGTGCGCTGTGCAGAAACATGGCGCTTAGTACTGGGCAGGATCAATGAATCGTATATCATTCCAGTCGTGTTGAAGTAAATGGTTTTGGAGAGCTCACGAGTTGGATTACTTTCAACTACTGTATCCCCCTGCATATACGCTACTGGGCAGGGCTGTCGTTTCAAAAACAAGTCTGAGTTTGATCCTCCCACCGCACCCCCCCCCCCCCCCCCTTTTTTTTTCATATTACTTGAGACCCTGGTTTTAAGACAGCATTTAAGCTGCAAATTGGCAACCGAATAATCGCTGGAACACATGTATAGTGCTTTTATAGTAGCTGTGTCATTCCTACTTCTAATATTTACACTGAGTTACTGGTTTGGTTGGTGATTAAAACGGGTCAGAAGCCCCGCATTTCTCGGTTTCCTCACCGCGCCTCGGATCGCGTTGCTACTTGAAAAACGCGTCAGCAACAAAATTGGTGGCAGAGGTGAATCTAGTTACCGTACTGGAACTGAGTGCGCTGTTTTAAAACTTGGTTATACTCGTATTTGCCGATTTGAACCCAAGGTTTTCATCTGCCTTGATCACCATACTTGGCGGCGTGAATCGCGCTGGTTTGGGTGAAACGGGCTCACCGTACTGGATAGCAAAGCGTCGTTTAGCACCCAGGTCTTTCCCATGAAATCCGATTTCAACCCACGTTTTTCAAGTGCCTTCATCTGGATACATCGCGGCACAAATAGCGCACCTGGGGAGCATCTCTCACTCATCACGTTCATCCCATCTCCCTCCCAATCTCATTCATTTCACTCCCATCTCTCGACCCCGTCTTCTTCGGCCATCATGACAACGCTTTTCCGCCTTACGAACATTGTCCGCGCCGTGCTGGTCTTGGCACTGGCTCTTCTCCTCACATCCCACGGTGAGCAGCGCCCCTTTCCCGCCTCTATCCTGTTGTTCTGTGTCCCCGTAGAGTACCTGCAGAATGCAGCCGTACCTTACATAGCACCTCCGTGGTCTTTCAGACCTACTATTTGGTCTCCTTTTTCAGTAATGCTGATATCCAGGGACTTTAGCCTGCTTGGGATTATATTTTCTTTGTAACAAATATTCTTAACACAGTTCCGTTGGCGGCGGGGAGGAAGACGAAGGAGGCGGATTTCGCGGAGTACTATCAAACTCGCGGCGAGACGTGCGCCGTGTTGCTGAAGCGATACTACGCGGGCAAGCAATTCAAATTCGCGGCCCTCAACAACGGCCGTCGCTGCCAGGACCCGGTTGCAAAGGACACGATTATCCGGGTTGTGTGAGCGCGCTGGTGCGTTAACCCGAAAATTTGACGGGATTCAGCGTCGTATGGCACAGTGACCTGCCAGTGGGAGGTGATAGCTGAAGATGGTGGCTGGCGTTGGTCCAGCATCTCATCGTTGCATCTTCTCATGTTGTAGTGTACTTTAGGTACTGCATTTTCCATTACGACCTCGCTGTTAGTGAAGCTACCTAGTGTACTTAATAGCGGCTCAACAGCAATACTGTTGATGTACGTGTCTGGATTGGCCTTGGCTGGGGAATCAATCCAACGAACCATGCTCTCCTGTCGGATTATTTGCGGTTGCGAATTGCACGAGCACACCATTTCATTACAGTACGGTCTACCCTGTACATGTCCTGCCAGTCCTGGTTTTGTCTCACTCATCTGGTACTTAGTGAAAGCTCATGAAATGAAAAATGTCTAAGCGTTTATCGCTTTCAAATTTGCGTATTGTGAAAGCGAAGCTGACTGTAATGCAATTTTGTGCATCGTCGAAGCGCGGTATTCGCCTTCTCCGAATATATAATGTGGGCTGGGGTCATTCTTCCCCCACCCACGTCTCTCATTTTACAATCGCTCAAGTTCAATTCCCAGTTCCGCTTGACAGAGGCAGTGACAATGACATCCTATCATCCATGGCCATGGCGGAGAGCTTTAACTCCATCAATGTCCATCAATTTCAGACCTGATGTTGGCACTGATTGTTTCAGACGATGCGCGGCTTTAAGATCTACACAACGGTGTCTTTTTAGTGTTCATAAAGGGAACCTATACACCTGTTTTGTATGTTCCAGGCTATCGTCCAGGCAAGTCGTAACTCCAACTCAGCCTTAGATATCATCCTATGGACTGCGGCAGTTACCATGGCTACTCCTTGGCTTCCACCAGCACATGGTGTCATCAATGTATACAACATCTAGCGGTACAACCAAAGCAAGCATATCTCGAGGATCAAGACTCAAGGGAACAACCTGTTTTCAAGGCATGGAGAACTACGCTAGGGTGTCGGCCTTATCGCGTGGCCTGGGCCTGCAGAGGTTCGCATTCAAACACAAGAAATATAAGCCCGGCGTGGTGATTTTGCTCAGACAAGCTTGTTTATCAGCCAAGCACGGGCTGTCAAGTCTGTATCATCATCGCACCATGGGAGGCAAGAAAGGCAGCAAAGCGAAGATAAACGTTGGCATGGCTCAGGAGACAGACGTACCTGACCTACCTCTGAAGGAGCCTGCTGCTACCGGAACGCTTCCACTAAATCTCGCCTGAGCGCCTTCGTCTGGGCCTTTCGAAGCCTTCAACGAGCAGCAGGTTGCTGATGATCAGGATGCTGATGCAACCAAGAAAAGCACTGACGACAATGGTGAACTTGCTGAAGGAGAGGCACGTGAAGAAGGGGACGCTAAGGACACTGCTGATGATGACGCGCGGTCAACGGATGCCCCGGCCGATGACGACGACGACGGTTACCTGAGTGATGACAGCGACGATCACCTGGAGCCGGACTGTCTTAACAGCATTATTGCTTTAAAGCGATTCACACTAACCCTGTTGGTGCCGATTGCCAGGAAAGTGGAGGTTAAGCGCGCGGCTCAAACAGTTGCTGCCATGCTGGATGAATGGAAGGAATTATTAACGCCAGACGCGCTGCTGACCACAGCTTACCAGGACCTCGCTCCGATGTTTCTCTCCGGAGAGCGTTATGGCCGCCTGCAGGTTACATTCAATCAAGTTAAGGACGCCAACTTCGTGTGGAACCAGACTATTCGTCACGAATGCGTCAATGGCGACTTCATCGACCTCACCTGGCAGCACCCAGAGGACGCTCGTTTCCTGCGTGAGCGCGTTCTGAACCCCACGGCGAAGGAGATCGTAATCAAAGGCGTACCTGCGGAAATGTCGGCAGAACTGATTCGTCGTTTGCTGGTGGTGTCAAAACTGGTGAAGCGTGGCAGAAGCATATTCGCCAGTGGATTCGGCTTTCATCGGACAGTTGACCCGGTGTCAGGCTTGGACACGGATCGCTTTCGTGGGTTGTTCATCCCCCATGCTGACGACGAATACCGCTGGCGCACCTTTGTTGAAGACCCCACCACTGGAAAGAGCTACCTGCTTCACTACCCGTCGCTGACCTGCGATTTCTGCGGTGGGCAGCACATGACTCGTTACCATGATCGTTACGTCGCCCCAAGACAAGACAACTTCAACAACTGGAATGTGACGGTTAAGAAAGTGCACCAGATGAACGGTACAAGCAGAGCGACGCCTTACCTGCCTCTGGGACCTGCTAACTCACTCGTTTTTAACTTCTTACCACTTTCTGACGATTGGCCGCTTCCCTCCCCCCGCAGCTGCGTCCCTGAAAGCTTCGGATTCCCTGAAGCGTATCATACGCGACCCTGCCATCATCCTCACTTCCACTGGTGGCACACGGGAGGAGTGGGTTTGTGTCCAAGCAGTATGCGAGAAGGCGCAGGGGACTCATTTCGAGCAGGCATCGGCTCATATCGTATCCGCCCGGCACAAAGAGGGTTTGCGGAAGGAGAGCTCAGCAACACGTGTCGGCACGTTCCCTCAGAAGATGATATCCTTCAGGAAGGAGTTCATGTCAAAGCTACAGAAGTAGTGCAGGTCAGCAGGACCACAACAGTTGTATGCATCGGCAGAGGAATAAGAGAGGAGGCTGGAATCAACGGCTTACCTGCTCCAGTAGCATTGTGTACCTTTACAGCCCGTGGATGCGAAGGGGCTTCACCGTTGCTGATTAATGGATAAGGCCCACAAAGTTGTTTTTTGTGAGTTCAACATTAACGGACTCGGCAGAGTAGAGAAGCAGAGGAAATGCAAGGAATGGATGAGAGAAAAGACGGACGTGGCTATAATCACTGACACAAGACTTCAGGCTGACCACAATTTCTGGACAGACATAACACCAAGTGCCTACGCAGTGTGTGGACAAAACCCTGATGAGTCGGCGGGAGGGGTTGCTATAGTGTGTTTTGTACCTGGACTGGTCTTCGTGAACAGCTTCACCCATGTATCTGGCAGGCTCCTGGCGGTGGTCGTTCGCTGGGGAGGCCTGGAGTTCCTGTTGATCGCAGCATACATCCCGGCTCAGGCGGTGAATAGGAGCAGCTTTTACAGAGACAGCCTGGAGCCGTTTCTGCAGTCCTTGCCGAGTTTCCACCATATTTTGGTGATGGGGGACCTCAATGTGGTCGAGGACCCGGACTTGGACCGCACATCACACTCCGGCTCCTCGGCAGAGAATCAAAGGCTTCTGAGCTGCTGGGGGAACACGGATTTGAGGGATGCTTTCAGGCACTTACATCCGGACAAGAGGGAGTACACGTTCTTTGCTAAAGCAACAAGGTCCAGCTCGAGAATCGACAGGGCGCTGATATCTCAGCCGCTGCTGTTGCGATTGGTGGAAGCGAAGCACGTGGCGATCACGAATGGGATGACGGACCACTGGCGCGGAATAGGAGTGGTGCTGGAATCTGCAGACGCGGTCAAGAAAGGGCCGGGCATTTGGAGGTTGAGGGCGGAGCAAACGAAAAAACAGGGAGTCAGAAAAATCATTAAGAAGATCATCGAGGAATCCGCGGGTGAACCTGCTGACCGGCTGCTAGGAAGGTTACCCGCCTGTCTGAGGGCGTACTCACGGGAGGAAAGGAAACGGGAGAAGGCGACCAGATTGCACCTCACCAAAGAAGTGGAGCGGTTCCGCGTCCGAGTGTCAAGATACCCACACTGTCAACGTACAGGCCGGATCTTGCTCAGGAAAGAGGAGTTGCTGGAAGCGTACGAAAAAAGTCACAAGGAGAAACTGCAGACTTGGGCATGCGTCGAAGCAGAGCTGGATGGGGAGGTGGCATCGGGATTCCTGTCTGCGCAAATCAAAGCACGCAAGGCAGGGACGGAGATCCGCGAAGTATCAAGAAATGGGAGTGTCTTCTCAGGGGTGAAGGAAGTTCTCTCGGCGGCAACCGATCACTTCCGAGAAGCCTTCGGATGTTCGGATGGAGGCGCTTTACCTGTAACGGTTGACCGTACCATGCAGCGGCAGCTGGGAGAGAAGAGCAAGGTTTCGCTGGGGGCACCCTGGGCGGAGGAAGAGGTGCGGAAGGCAGTTCGGGAGCTCGCCCCGGGGAAATCACCTGGAGCAGATGGCCTGCCCAAGGAGCTCTTCGACCATAACTGGGATTTGCTGGGGCCGATCTTGATGGACCTGGTGGGGAGGTTTACAAGGGGAGAGGTCCTGCCGCAAAACATCACCACAGCGGTGACCATTCTGCTGCACAAAAAGGGTGACAAAGGTGACCTCGGAAACTACCGACCGATAACGCTTCTAAGCACCGTGTACAAGATCTTAGCAAAGGTGATGGCGAGCAGGCTCAAGACTGTTCTGCACGAGGTCATATCGGAGGACCAGTACGGCTTCATACCTGGTCGTCAGTTGGCGGACGCGGTGGCGGTGGTGGCAGACGCCATAGATGCGGGGGCAAGCGGGAAGGAGGACTGGTTCTTGCTGATGGTCGACTTCCAAAAGGCGTTTGACTCAATCTCGCGTGACTTCCTCTTCAGCACCCTGCGGAAGTTGGGCCTACCGGAGAACTTCGTGTCCTGGACGGAGGGGTTGCACAAAGGAGCAGGTACACGTTTGCACATTAACGGGTGGACAGGTGAAAAGGTAGCGGTGGAAAAGGGGGTGCGCCAAGGTTGTCCGCTGGCGCCGTACCTGTTCCTCTGCGCGGTGGAGCCGTTATGCTAAGAGATCAACCGAAAAAAGCTGGGAATCGGAAAGAAGGGTGTGGGCAAGCTGGCGTACCTGGGTTACGCCGATGACACCTCGCTCCTACTGCAGGGTGCGGAGCAGCTCCAGACGGCGTCTAAGGTGCTGTCGGATTTCGGGGAGGAGTCGGGCCTGAAGGTGAACGAAGGGAAAACAGTGATATTTCCGCTGGGGAAAAAACGGGGAAAGCCGGCACCGCACGGGGTGAGATACAAGTGGGCGGATAAAGACGACCCGGAGCGTCTGCTGGGGGTCTGGATCACGCCAAGTGGGAACCCAGCCCCTTCCTGGAACAAGGCGCTGGACAGGGCAAGGGGGGAGTTAGCGAAGTGGGAAATGAGGCACTTGACCACGACATCACGCGTGACAATAATCAACAGCTACATTGTGCCGGTCTTCCTCTTCCAGGCACAAGTATACCTACCGCCGGAGGCCATTTGGAAGAGGATTCACAAATTATGCCACACCTTTGTCTCGAAGGGTGAAACGGCCGAGGAGAAGCGTTTCATACTCTGGAACTACAAGCTGGCATGCACGCCTCGGGAGGACGGGGGGCTGGGGCTGATTTGCCCGGAGCTGAGAGTCAACAGCATCGCTATCCGGAACGTCTGCCGACTGGTGCTGATGCCGGACTCTGTCAAAAAATGGTTGGCGGTGAAGGCTGCGGAATTCCCCCTGGGACTGGACACCGTCTTCGCGCACAAGTCCGTGCTGGATCACTGGGTGAAAGGAAGCGCACGATGGAAGGAGCTGACTGAGAAATTCTGGGGCTCGCCGCTGTGCAAACCGCGAACACCGACAAACCGCTGGGAGGTGGAGCAGGAGCATCTGGCTTTCAATCCAAATATCCCCTACAGTGGTGCAAGCCCTTTCGGGAACCAGAAGGGGGCTTTGGTGTTGCTGGGCATCCGCGTGGGTGACCTGATTAAGAAGGCAGGCGACGGAGCGTGCGTACTCAAAGGGTTAGCGGAGCTGACGAGGGAGATGGGGAACAGAGACAAGGCGAAATGGGCGCTGAGAGCTTTTAAAGCGACACCGGCGCGCTGGAAGGAGATGGTATTAACAAAACTGACAGGCGAGGAGATTGTGGCCAAGGTGAAGCTGCTACGGTCGGGTGATGGCGCGACTAGAAACTTCACCTACTGGCAGATCGAGGAGGCGAAGGGGGATAAAGTGACGGGGAGGCTATGCACCGTTGAGGATGGCAGAAGGTTCGCACCTTACGAGAGGTGCCTTACGTTGGATTTCGGTCTACGCAGCGGTGTACCGATGTTCACGGAGGGTTGTGTATTTCTGGGGGCCATGGGTGACGCGCATACGAGACTGCTGCTATCAGAGGCATGTGAGGGCGGAGAGCTGATCTCAACAAAAGGGTTACGGAAATTACTGTCAAGCTCTTCTGGCAGACAGGAGAACCAAAGGAGATGGGAAGGGCAGAGGAGGGCAATTGAATGGGACAGAGTCATCACACAAAGGGATTCTCTCGCCACTCCACGGCGGGCACGCGAGGTCCTTCTAAGGCTCCACTGTAGAAACCTGCAAGTGGGCTCGAGACTTTTCTTCATGGGCGTGGTCTGCCCGCACTGTCGTGGCGAGGAAACCCCAGACCACTGCCTCCTGGGATGTCCTACAGTGCAGCCGGTGGTGGACCTGCTGAGGAGAGGGCTGGTGGCAATGAACCCGGGGATAGCGTGGCAAGATCTCGAAGACCTGATCTTCATGCAAAGAAGCACGAAGTCGGGTTTTCCGGAAGGGGCGTGGATTGCAACAGGTCTGCAGCAAATATGGTTGGCAAGGTGCAACGCGGCGTGGAGAAATGAGGCATTCCATGCTGGGAGGGTGGCTCGGCTGGTAGTGATCAACTTTGTCGCGCATGCGAGAACGTACTGCTTGGCGCGCGAGGTGGCAGCACGGAAGGACAAGCAGGTTTTGGGGGATGACTGGGCACACCTGGCGGCCGATGAGGCGACGGTGATGCGACGTATCTGCAGCAGCGGTGCACCGCTGTCGTGGAGGATCAGCTTCAGTTCAATCTGGGATAACCCCAGCATGACTCACCAACCGCCGTAGTCGCGTTAGAGGGGAACTGCAATATCTGCTATTGTGGCGCTCCCCTCCCCATGCCAGTTACGACTGCCGATGTCTGTACATTCCTGTAATGTATATGATATCAAAAAAAAAAAAAAAAATTTCCCAGTTCCGAGACCCATCCCGATTTTTTCGGAGGCTCCAACTCCCTCCCGATTTTTTCGGACCTCACCTGGCGAGGGTGAAAACCCTTCCACGTTTTCAAGCACCATCTACCCTGCTATCGGATATTCTGAACTACAATCAAGCTTCGATGGCGCCGAGCGACAACGTCCCGAACCGTTCGGACAACGAGAAGAATACCCGTGAAATTACGGGAGATCGCCGCAACAAGCGGCGGGCGGACGACGAGGGTAACGCGCCCACTGGTGTCGACCTTTTGACGCGCAGTGGCGAAGTCAACAATACCGCCAACCAGCAGCACCCCTCGGCACCTGTGGCGCCAGTGGCGCCAGTGGCGCCTGTGGCGCAAGTGGCGACGGCGGCACCTGCAGCACCTGTGGCGCCACACGCGCCCGACGCCGAGCACGCGCCAGCACCTGTGGCTGGACCGTCGCGTCAGCGCCAGAGGCGCCGAACTGGGTCTTCGTCTGACGCGATGGCTGACCCTGTTTTGACTCCGGCGCTGACTGCTGACCAAGTCCAAGCGCTTTTGGCGCTGTTACAGCAGCAGCCACCGGCGGTTACGGCAACAGCGACAACAATTTCTGCATCTGCTAAAAACGCAAATGCAAGAAACGATTTGGCGCGTCACGCTCGCGCACACGAAGTCCCTCGCGCCGAAAGGGAAAATGCTGCTACTGCGGTGCCCAACAACAACAACGACGGCAGCGACTCAGAAGACGAAGCGGGTGAGGCTCATGCACACAACAATTTTCTTGCACCCGTTGAGCACCTTCCTCCACTCCCATCCACCAATCCCACCATTCCCGCCTCCTCATTTCACCACGCCGGAGTACGCGAGCAAGCGGAATTTCTGGAGGACCTGCGCGCGTACCTGAAGCACTCGGAGCACAAGATACGCCACGGCGACACTGCTGGCGCTCTTGAGCACTTCGAAGAGGCGTACGCCCTCATCGCCGATCGCTTCCAACTCCTTCAAGTCGCCGACGCCTCCGACTTCAAGACGGCGCACCGCTTTGTCAAATGTTGTAGCCTGTAGTGAGGTTTGTCTTAGGGGGTACAGAAGTTAGGGTTTGTCATATGTACCCCAACCAACATCAATGCAACATCCATTCCTCATTCTGACATGGTATCAGCTAGGTTAGGATCCTGTGGGATCCCGTTCCTCCGTTCTCCGTTCGTACCTCCCGAGCCTGATCCTACCTCTCGTTCGTACCAGTTTAGTTGTTACCGCGCCTAGTACCAAGCCTAGCATCATCTCCCCCGTCGCGTCGCGCCCGTTCCCCCCGTCGCGTCGCGCCCGTTCCCCCCGTCGCGTCGCGCCCGTTCCCCCCGTCGCGTCGCGCCTGTTCCCCCCGTCGCGTCGCGCCCGCCTGTTCCCCCCCTGTCCCGTCGCGTCGCCCTGCCCTGTCCCGTCGCCCTGTCCCGTCGCGTCGCCCTGTCCCGTACCGTCGCCCTGTCCCGTCGCGTCGCCCTGTCCCGTCCCGTCGCGTCGCCCTGTCCCGTCCCGTCGCCCTGTCCCGTCCCGTCGCGTCGCCCTGTCCTGTCGCGTCACCCTGTCCCGTCCCGTCCCGTCGCCCTGTCCCGTCCCGTCCCGTCCCGTCGCCCTGTCCCGTCGCGTCGCCCTACCCCGTCGCGTCGCCCTGCCCTGTCCCGTCGCCCTGCTCCGTCGCGCCGCCCTGCCCCGTCGCGTCGCCCTGTCCCGTCGCGTCGCCCTGCCCCGTCGCGTCGCTCCTGCCCTTTCCCCCGTCGCGTCGCCCTCCCTAGGCCCTAGCCCGTCGCCCTCCCTAGGCCCTGGCCCGTCGCCCTCCCTAGGCTCTGGCCCGTCGCCCTACCCTAGGCCCTGGCCCGTTGCCCTACCCTACGTTTTGGCCCGTCGCCCTAGCCCGCTCTTCCGCTGCGACTGAGTCCTCTTCCCCCCCGGTTGTTACTCGCCTGTTCGTTCGCGTTGGTTCTCACTATGGCGACTCCGCGAGTTCTTCGTTTCGACGCTGACGGTAGACCCCTTGACTTTTCCGTCTGGCTTCTTCGCGCTCGTCGTCTGTTAGAGAGTCAGGTCCAGGGGGGCGAGACCCTCTGGTCACACGCTACTGGTGACCTCCCCGAGCCCCCCGAGCCTACCGCTTTAGGCCCTGCTCCTGACGACGCTGCTACGGCTCGCTTTGCCCGTCAGCGCGCTGACCGGACGGCTTGGACGTCGCGTGACGCTGCGGCCTGCATCGCACTCAGCAGCCTCCTCCCTGAGTCCGAGGAGGTCCACTTTACTCAGGTTCGCACCGCTGCTGCGTACCTCACTGCGATTAAGGCCCGCTACTCTACTCCCGCTACTGTCTCTCTCGGCCGTCTTTTCCTCCCGTTCCTGTTTCCTGATCTTGCCTCGTTTGAGCGCTCTGCTGACTTGATCGCTCACCTCCGCTCGCTCGACGCTAGTTACCGCGCTGCTTGCACTGAGGCACAGCTTGCACTGCTTCCTCCCCCCATGGCGATTACTGTCTATTTCATCGCCACTAGCCTCCCTGACCGCCTTGCCTCCGTTCGTGACGCGCTTCTGCTGAAGCACCCTAGTGAGCTGACTATCGAGGTCCTTGAGTCTGCACTCAAGGACGTCGAGAGCAACCTTCGTTCGGTAGCTGCCGCCTCTGGTACTGTGTCCCCCCCACTCTTCCACGGGTGCACAGTCCCGCAGTTACCCACCTTCACTGCCTCTCTTGCCACTGCCGCTACTGACGCGACTGCGGCTGCTGTTACGACTGCGTCGCGGTCCCGCG